GCCAGCCCGCCCAGGTCTTCGGAGCCACGCTCCTGGGCAAGCGGACGTGGTCCGCCGCCTTCCCTGGAGGCGCTGCGGCCGCTGCGTGCCTCGGCCTCCACGGGGCTCCTTTCGATGCTTCCGCCTCGATTCGACTTGATTTCGATCGATTCCGAGTCCGATGCAATTCGATGTGGAGTTCCGACTTTGGGATGCCGATACCTCGATGGAGGCCTTCTGGCCTGCAGATTTCCGCAGACTCGGCCGTTCCCGGCTCGGCTGCCGATGCCCGCCGATCCGATCCGATCCATTTCGATTGCCGATCCGACTTATCGATTCGATTATGGGCTCGCCTGCCTCCACCTCGCCCTCACATTGAGCGTGTCTCATTGATGATGGGCTCGACTGGCGGCAGCACGACGTGCAGTGGAGTGGCCACGATCGGGCCCCGATCGGATCCTCCTGGGACTCTTCGTCCTCCTCGTCCCCGCTCACTCCCTTCCCGGGTCGAACGAGAGGGGTGAGAAATGGGAACGTGGGGGCGGTTGGGGGGGGTACGACCTCTGCTGACTGCAGCTGGTCTCGGCCCCGCCGCTGGGCTTTTTCCCTCGATACGCCCTCCCACCCCCCTCACAGTCCAGCCACTCGCAGAAGGGGGGCAGGGGGGGGGAGGCTTCCTGGGAGCACCCTGTCTCTCAGAAGGCGCGGGCCTCACCTGTAGATGTAGGGCCAGCGCCCACGAAAAAGCAGCCTCCTTCTGAGAAGCCTTCCCCTCGCCACCCTGCCCCCCTCCTGGGCGCCGCCAAGATACGCCCCCATCCCCCACTTGGCTATCCCCCATTTGCTTCCGCCGTGACGCTTCCGCCTCTGTCGCCTCGGCAGAGTCAGCGCCCTTCGACGCCCAGAGGGGGCCAGAGGGGCTTGTCCCGGGCTGTCAACAAGCACTACCCATACGTACCCATGTGACCACAAACTTCCTCGGGGTGGAATGCCGTGGGTTCTATGGGTACGTGTTGTCGAATGGGGGTTCCCGCTCGAGCGGGACCCCCCCTCGACAACCCGCACCCATACCGATGACACCTTCATCTCCCTGCCGGCCCGATCCCTTCTCCCTCTAGGTTTGAGTACTTCATCACATTGGTGCCACTCTGCCCAAGGAACGGCGGTCGTCTTCTGCGGCCCAGCGGCTCGCGAGGGTGGCTTCCCCCCTCAGTCCTTCTTTTTGGTCCGTAGGTGTTCTGTCTTGGACCCCTTGTGAAACGCAGCCGTCCAGCTTCCGCTCCAAAGACCGCCAGCAGCCGCCGAAGGCTGCCAGAAGACCGCCAGAAGACCGCGGAAGACCGGCCATGACCAGAGAGCAACCAGGGGGCCATGGACGAACGCGCAGGCTCCCCCCCCCCGATCCCTCTGGGCGTCGTCCTGGCGGAGCCGGAGGGCCCCGAGGCAGGACGTGCCCGAGCTCGGGGCCGACGCTGCCCAGGTCGGCGCACCCTCGTGCGGCCGCGAGGTCCCGAGGGCCAGGACGACGGGGCCGACCGAGACGTCCACGAGCGCGGCACGGGCGACGATCTCCGCCAGCATGCGGCGGTACCGGAACGAAATGGACGACCACAGCGAGGCTGTCCGCAACCCAACAGGGCCATCGAGGAGCATACTGGGCCATTTTGCGAAAAAACCACGCACGAAACCGAGAAATGTACGGGGAATGGACGTCCGAGCGATGGCAGGCGCGAGAGTGATCCTCGCCGGAGTGACCTCTGATGCGGGCTTACCGGGGTCCCCCCGATCGCTGAGCGCGATGCGAACGGGTGCGCAGTGGAACAGATGGCGCAGGAGAAGATTGACGCGCCGCAGCAGCCGATCGGGATCCTCTCTGCCGAGCTCGTTCCAGCAGCGATCGCAGCCTCGAAGGGCAGTAACAACAAGTTGGGCGAGGTTTGGGCATTGTTGGGCGCTTCGGCAACGCATCGAGCGATACCCGCACGCGTCGCCGCTCGGTTTGAGCACATTCCCGCGTCAGTTTCTCGAGCTGGTGCGTCACCAGCAAGCGCGACAGTTGGCACAGCTTCCTGCTCGACGACCTCAAGAGCAGCTCCCAGGAAGTCATCGCAGAAGGACTCTGAACTCTAGCCTACTCGCTGATTTTCAGGCGATGGAAATCCAGGATTGGTTCAAGAACCATGGGGTGAGCCGCACGTCACGAACTGGCGGGGGCCCTTCAGTTGGTTTCGATTGGGCCATCTCCCTGCACGTGCCATGGATGCGAGACATCCTTAGCTTGGGCGCCCTTGACGCCAAGACGTTGATGCAGTACTGCATGGAACGAGAGCACCTGCGCAAGATCAAGCGACGCTGCGTCACTGGCAGCATCCAGCTCGGCAGAACGGCTGGATTCTGGACCTTGTTGTGCGTCACGGAGCGCCGCGATGGACGTCCCAAGATGTGAGGAATGAGCCTCCGTAGCCATTTTGGCTCAAGGCTCTAACCTTCCCCGGGGTTAGAACCTTGCTGAAGGCGACAGGGAGGCCCGAGCCTCCTGAGGACAGGCCTCACTTTTGATTATTTCGATCCCTGCGTGAGCTTCAGTGCCGCGCTGGTTTCATTTTCGGCCACTCTCACCACGGGGCGGATCACGCCTGTAAGTCCAATGCCTACTGCTGAGAGTGCGGTCCGCGGTGTCAGACGGATGAGCAAGTCGGTGACCCGCTCGCAGTCTAGAAGGTTGCCGAAGAGAACTGAGAAGTCTTGCAGCAGAAGTCCCACACGCTCGCCTCAACGGTTCTCAATCAGCTCTGACAGTCGAAATTTGGGTCGTATGCACAGCCGCAGAAGTACCTCCACGGACCGTGAGGCTGCGCCTGACAGCCCGCCACCGTGGATGAAGCAGCTGATTGGTAGTATCAAGGACTCGAATACACGTATCCAGACCTTGGAGCAGAACTTCGCGCAGGAGGTACAGTCTCTCCAGCAGGCTATCTCGACCACGGACAAGAACGTTCACCTGCCCAACACCCGCATCTCGAACATAGAGGCCGCTAGCTCTGCGTCCATTTCGGAGGCAGTCTCTGTGGCGGTCGGGCTCAAGATGGCTAAGATTGATGCAGCAATTTGTGATCTACAAAGCCAACCGATTCCAAGACCCAGCACACAGCGTCGGAATGAGAATTCAGGCTCGGTGCTCGAGGTCAAACCTGAAGTTTTTGAACGTGCACATCGTGTCATTGTTGGCTTCCCTCGCAAGATGATGCAGGCTTCACTGCGACGTGCTGCCGATGTGGTAGCGACGGCAGGCACCCCGCTCGGCAGCGAACGCCCTACAGTCCGCACCTACGACATGACTAAGAATATCATCTTAGACTTCAAGGATTCGACCAAGGCGTCAGTCTTTCTGAACACGATGAGCACTCATGGCACGGTTCCCTTTCCCGACCCGCAGCAGCAGATTATGCTGCGTGTCAAGCGCGACATGGCCCCAGGCACGCGTCTCCTCTTCTTAGCTATGGGTAAGGTTCGTGGTGTCCTTGCTAGTGCGCTGCAGGAAGTTGGAAAAGATATGGGGTCTAACGGACTCGGAGGAGATGTGCATGTTCTTCGGTCAGCAGAAGATCCCGTTCAGATATGCCACCTTGAGCTTGCGAGTGCAGACTCTGAGCCGCCCAAGATTGGCATCGCCTTTTTTTCCTTATCTGGTTGCTGAATTTAGTGTCATTATTTCTCCCCTTCTCCCGCGTTTGCAGGAGGGGATTGATCACTTGAATGCTTCGCAACCCTATTAGAGCTGAAGGTGGCTGGCCCCAGGCTGTGGGAGCAGCCCTGGAGACACCTCCAGAAGTGTGTCCGAGTGCTGCGAGCCCTGAAGCCACGCCCCAGAATTGCTCTAGTCTGTTAAGTGACTCTGGTCAGGCGCTTTGTTGGTATGAAGATGTGCGCCCCGTCTCTCCTGGTGCCCTCCTCGCTGGTGCCGTTCTCTCTGGGCTCCCTGGTGACCGGTGTCCTGCTCTAGCGTCTCCCGCTGGTTTCAGGGCCCGTCCATTTTTCCCCTCCTCTCAGATTAAGCTAGGATCTTGGAACACTGCCGCTCTGCTTGCCGCTGTTCGAAGCAGAAGTACGAAAGCAGCCCCTCGCTTTGCTCGGTTTCTGAAGCTCGCGAAGCAGCTCGCGATCTCTTGCGCCCTGGAAAGTCATGGACAGCTTGCGGACATAAATGAGCTTCGGCGAGAGCTTCGGTATTTTGATATTGGTCATTCTCTGTTCTCCAACTCTACTGCGCCGGGAGGGGCCACCACGTGCACCCAACCTGCCTTTGCCAAGCTCATCTCCGCCATTACCCGCGCTCCCATCATCGAAGGTGGGAACATGTGTATTATTAATGCGCACGCGCCTAACACGAATGAGCTCACTACTATCTATTCCATTGCGCTTCGTTCGATTTTGGGTGCGTCACCTAACCCCGCCGAGTGCTTCGCGATTCTCATTGGAGACTGGAACTTCGCTCTCTCGTCTGATGGGCGACTGCGTGCTGGCGGTAGCGGCTGGTCGCCAGGTGATGATAATCATACTGCGCCCTTTCATCGTCTCTGTGGCTCTTGGATTGAATTCTGCCAGTGTGAGGATACGAGGAGAGAGGTCAGGGACGGAGTTGCAACCCATGCTGCTCGGCTGGGCCGCGCGTATAGCACGCTTCCGTCTGCCTTTGCGTTCGACCTCACCATCATGAGTGAGGCGCTGGGGCCTTTGAAGGTGGACGTGGTGTCCGACCACGTCCCGATTGTGGTCTCGATCAGTACCTTTCGACCTCAAGATTCCCCGCGACGTTTGGCTCCCTGGATTACCCGCCACCCGCTATTTCATGAATTTCTGGATGGCGCGATCTGCGCCCTTCCTGGTGGTGGCCCGTGGGGCCGACTGGCTGGAACCAAATCTTTGATGTTTGAGGTTGCCGAGGAAGTTAAACGAGTTGTCCATTTGATGGTTGCCGACTCGACTGAGGCTAAACACTATCGTGCCATGCAAGCGTTGCGTGCATGGCGGTCTGGTGGCAGCTTTCTTCTTAGTGCTGCAGTCGCCGCCTATCCTGCTCTTGCCCGGCACTTTCCAGCTGGCATCCGAGACGCCCGGAGCGGGCCCCTCTGTCTTCACGCCCAGGGTCTTCATAATCTACTTCTGGAGGCGGAAGAGAACGAGCTTAACCAGGGCAGGGGGGCCAACCCAACGCTCACGGACAGGTTTGCGACCTCTCGGGTTCCTGGAGTTGGTCAGAGCGATGGCGAGGAGAATGCTCGGCGGAAGCTGGCGGCGCGGAAGGAGCTCTGGCGGAAGATGAAAAGACGGACGTGGCTCCAGGGGACCCTCTCCTCCACGGGTGATTCTAGCCGAACCGAAGAGGAGGCTGCTCAAGCCCTTCAGGACCACTGGAGTTCCGTGTTTGCGGCCACCGCGGACGACGAGCCCCGCTGGCCCGAGTTGCTTCAGTTTGTCCAGAAGTCGCCAGATGTGCTTGAGGAGGTTGATGTGACCTACGTGATTGAGCACGGGTGGATGATGGATGAGTTCGATTGGCGCATGATGGTTATGGTGAGGAGGGATAGCATGCCTGGGGGGATGGGATACCTTACTCGGCCTGGAGGGCCCGCTCTGCTGGCGATGTGCTCTACGAATTCTACCTCGCTTTGTTTCGGAACCCACATGCTAGAACCCCTAATGACACGAAGCGGTGCTTAATGGTGTTTCTCCCTAAGAAGATCACGGAACAGGAAGTGGGGGAAAGGGGTCTTTCGAGAACCTGCGGTAGCCCGTCCCTTCAGCATGGCAAATACCGATGCGATGTTGTTCTCGGCATCGATGGCGATGCTTCTAACCCGTAAAGTTGCTAGATACTGTCTGCTCCAGTCTCCCCAGAAGTGTCTCCGCGGTAGAGATGCTGTCGAGTGTGATGGAAGTTGAAGCTTTCTTGCTCGAATACCACTTTTGCGATGGGTATACGAGTGGGTAGTCCTGACGGACTTTGCTTCCGCCTTCCCCTCCATCAAGGTCTCCTGGGTGCTGCAGGTTCTGTGCTCCATGGGCGTTCCCCTGGGCTATATATATATGCTTCTTTCGGGCCCTTTAGCAGGATAACTCTGCTGTGTCATGCCTCTTCGGGAAGACCTTTGGATCGTTCCCCATTGGGCGAGGGGTTCGGCAAGGAGATCCGAGCTCGATGCTCTGCTTCATTTTAACCGTTGAACCTGTTCTGGCATGGGTACAAGCGAGACTTCCTGTTCACTTATCACTCGCGCTCGCCTATGTTGACGACTTGTGTTTCAGCTTGCGTTGCCTGTTTGATGGCCTTTGGGCCTCTCCTTGAGTGCTTGGGACTGCTGGATAGTGCGATTGGTCTAGCGCTCAACTTCCCGAAGTGCCAGATTGTCATAGTGTACGACCGTCTTCATGAACCTCTTCATGACTTCCTGGATGACCTTGGGCACCCGGTTGGCGTTATGGAGATCACCAGGCGGTTGAAGCACCTTGGGATCTAGATCGGGTTTGGGGCTGAAGATGTTGCTCTCCTGGAAACGGCTGTCAAACTGAAAATGCGCACCCGTGAAATCCGTGACTTTGGTCTATGGGGGTTTGCCCAACCTATCATGCGATTCAAATATTTCTGCGTTTCGTTAGTGTACTTTGTTCTACAGCTTCACTGTCTTACTCCTGCCCTGGATAAAGTTTACCGATCTTGTGTGCGTCTCCTCTCGGCGGGCCCGAACAACGCCCTCTCGTGCGATATATATATATATATACTAACCTCTGTGCGCTCGGCCTGCCAGTTGAGTTCCCGAGGCTCTCTTTGATCGCCGACGCGACGCGTGCCAGATATTGTTCGGTGCGATGAACTTCCTCGAATTCGGGATCTTGCCTCACGCATCTTTCTTGACGATGACTGGTGCCCGTATCGGCAGAAGCGGGGCTGGTTCGTTGACAGTTTCCTCGCGAATCCTTCCGAGTTTCAAGATGCAGCTCAGTCGCGTGACTTTCGCATCAAATATGAGCGTAAAGATGCCAAGAAGCATTATGCGAAGGCGCTGAAGCCTTACCATCAACCCGCCGTCCCCCCTCTGGAAGCTCTTCTTCGCCGTGCCTGTGCGTGGATCCTCGGGGCATCCATCGAGCACATTTCGCGCGTGTGCACCCTGGCTAAGTCCCTGGCTAAGAGGGCGAGTATGTATCTACTGCTGGCCAATATCCGGATGCTGTCCAGGTCTGTTTGTACGAGTGCCCGTTTTCACGCTGCTCCAAGAGGCTGTATTCTTGGGTGCCCTGCTTCCTCGTCCCATCTTCCCAGCCTTGATGATATGGTTCGCTATTTGGTTTGTCCGAGGCCCCAACAAGTATTCTGACAGTGGATGGGATCTTGGGCTCCGAGGTCTTCTGGGTCTCCTGAGGGTTCGCCCTGGCTTCACTCCTTCCTTTTTTTCACGGGATGGGCCCTGATCAGGGTCTTTTAAGTTCCATGCTTTGCGATGCGTTCCTCAGTATGCACTCTTCAGTCAGATATTGCCTGCCTCGCTCGCCGTCTCAGCAATTTGAAGCTCGTCCCCGAATGCAGGCACGGATACATCGTGCGTGCAGACTGGTCTGGTCTAAGCTGTCTCAGACAAACTAACAAAGGGTGGGTAGTGCCCCCCCCTCCCTCCCCCAATGAAAATTATCCGGGCGAAGGACCCAACCACATGCAAACGTGAATACCGCAGGGCAGGTGGGACGAAGCAAGAAGAATTCTCTATGAGGCCACGATCCTCGTGAAGGGTGTGCCGAAATGGCCCGAGGCCGCCATGCGAACCTTGCCACTGGGGCCTTCGGTGGAGCTCTTATGGGGCCACGATCCTCGTGAGGGGTGTGCCGAAATGGCCCGAGGCCGCCATGCGAACGCTGCCACTGGGGCCTTCGGTGGAGCTCCCTATGGGGCCACGATCCTCGTGAGAGGTGTGCCGAACTGGGGCGGGGCCGCCATGCGAACGCTGCCACTGGAGCCTTCGGTGGAGCTCCCTATGATGCCACGATCCTCGTGGGGGGTGTGCCGAAATGGTCCGGGGCCGTCATGCGAACGCTGCCACTGGCGCGTTCGGTGGAGTTCCATATGGGGCCACGATCCTCGTGAGGGGTGTACCGAAATGGGGCGGGGCCGCCATGCGAACGCTGCCACTGGCGCGTTCGGTGGAGCTCCCTATGGGGCCGCGAACCGTGTGAGGGGTGTGCCGAACTGGGGCGGGGCCGCCATGCGAACGCTGCCGCTGGGGCCTTCGCTGGAGCTCCTATGGGGCCACGATCCTCGTGAGGGGTGTGCCGAAATGGCCCGAGGCCGCCATGCGAACCCTGCCACTGGGGCCTTCGGTGGAGCTCCTTATGGGGCCACGAGCCGTGTGAAGGGTGCGCCAAAATGAAGCGGGGCCGCCATGCGAACGTTGCCACTGGGGCCTTCGGTGGAGCGCCCTATGGAGCCACGATCCTCGTGAGGGGTGCGCCAAAATGGGGCGGGGCCACCATGCGAACGCTGCCACTGGGGCCTTCGGTGGAGCTCCCTATGGTGCCACGATCCTCGTGAGGGGTGTGCCGACATGGGGCGGGGCCGCCATGCGAACGCTGCCACTGGAGCCTTCGGTGGAGCTCCCTTATGGGGCCACGATCCTCGTGGGGGGTGTGCCGAAATGGGGCGGGGCCACCATGCGAACGCTGCCAGTGGCGCCTTCGGTGGAGCTCCATATGGGGCCACGATCCTCGTGAGGGGTGTGCCGAAATGGGGCGGGGCCGCCATGCGAACGCTGCCACTGGGGCCTTCGTTGGAGCCCCCTATGGGGCCACGATCCTCGTGAGGGGTGTGCCGAAATGGGGCGGGGCCGCCATGCGAACGCTGCCGCTGGGGTTTTCGGTGGAGCTCCCTATGGGGCCACGATCCTCGTGAGGGGTGTGCCGAAATGGCCCGAGGCCACCATGCGAACGCAGCCACTGGAGCCTTCGGTGGAGCTCCCTATGGGGCCACGAAGCGTTGTATTGGGTGGGTGAAACGCAGGGAGGAGAGGGGAGGATGGGGAGGAGAGGAGGAGGAGGAGAGGAGAGGAGACGCGGGCCACCGTCTCTTCAAAACGAGGACCCAACACCACAGGATGGTTGGGAAACAAATGTGAGGAATGAGCCTGACGTGAAGGAGTGGGGCCAGCTTTTGGCCTTAACTTGGACCGCATGGTGTCGAATCAGGCTGTTAATGGCGGGTCTGGTATACCACCCTCTGCTCGAATCTCTGCTGCGTGCATTTGGATATGGCCCCGTCGCCAGGTGCCCAGAACATGTGTATATATGTTGTACACATGTACGTATATGATTGTGTACATCGATATATGTATACATATGTACACATGTATACATCTGTAGTTCGGTGTATATAAAAGATGTGTGAATGTAGATATGTGTGTGCGTATGCGTGTGTTTGCGCCTTCCGGCGCCGAACAGCGTTGTGAGCCGATTTGCCCCCGCCCGCCCTTGATTATCTCCTTCTCATCCGACCTGATCTTCGGCAGCATCATCGAGCTCGAGCAGCCCAGGTTATGCTGCCAGTGCGGCGACGCCACCTACAGCCCTTCCAGATGCCTCCCCCTTGCTCGCCTCGCGTGCTGCGCTCTGAGACCCGCCGCAGCGTTCGGCTCGGTGAGCCTGGCTAGCTTGCGACGGGGCGAAATACAGGGGAGGCCCATGCCAAGAAACACCATGCTTGTCTCCAGGTTGCCCTGGGTTTCTTGGCTTTCGATAGCTTTCCTCTGGAAAGCGCGACGTTCCCACACCAGACATCGATAGACGTTCTGGGGTCTCGGTGTTGAGTTTCTTGTGGAAGGTTTCTTGTGGACTGGCCTTCACTGTACAACATTCGGGGAACAAAAAGTGACATGAACGTGAAAACTCGGAGGTCTGCGCGGATTTCTCGGATCGGCATTGGGGCCCCCCGGCGGCGCCTCCGGCGCCGCCCCTGGCGCGCTCCGCGCGACAGGGAGGGGGGTCCAGCGCCGATCCGAGACATCCGCGCGGACCTCAGAGTTTTTATGTTTATGCCACTTTTTGTTCCCCTAAACATGTGGCGCGTTCCAGCAATTGTTCTGCCTCTGGGGACGTGGGGGAGGTGACAGCTTCTCCCGCGGGAAGGCGCCGACAGGCCAGCGGAAGCAGAACACGAGGGCGGCTCCGCCCGCGGAAAGGCCGGCGGGAGGCCCGCAGAGGCCCCGCGGAAAGAAATGTTTCCCCATGAATCAGGAGGGAAAAAACACGCAGACACAATTAATCCTCGATCCCCCAGAAAATATAGGAAAATATGGGAAGTGGGGGGGAAGACAAAAGCCCAGAAGATATGTGGGAATATGGGGGATCCTGTTATCAGTGTCTACTTATTCGTGTGTCCCAGGGCCCCTTCAAAGAGGTCTCATCATGTAGGGCTCCAGGGCTGTTGGAGAGCGCGCCATGCGACCGCTTGTGCGCGAAGCGTCCCTGCCGGCCGCGAGCTCTGGAGCCGCAGCTACGCGTCTGTTTTGGGGCCGTCGAGCGACCCGGGGCGCAGACCCCGGGAGGGGGGGTTGCCAGCGCTCGTCGTGCATCAGTCGTGGGCGGCAAAGAGGGGGGTGATGACAACTGGGGGAGCTGTGGTCCTTACCCCCCTGGGGGGCCCATCGATTTCGACACTCCTCTCGAGAGCTCGTCGAGGCGATGGGTTCCCCCAGGGGGGTAAGGACCACAGTTCCCCCAGTTGTGGCTGGTCGGCGTCGTCCTGGCGGAGCTGGAGGGACCCGAGGCAGGGCGTGCCCGAACTCGGGGTCGCCGCCGCCCAGGTCGGCGCACCCTCGTGCGGCCGCGAGGTCCCGAGGACCAGGACGACGGGGCCGACCGAGACGTCCACGAGCGCGGCACGGGCGACGATCTCCGCCAACATGCGGGGGCACTGGAACGAGTTTCGGGGGCGGCAAAGAGGGGGGTGATGACTGGGGGGGGTGGACATCATGGCAGGGGCCATGATATTTCCCCAGATCTCGTGCCGCCTCTTCTTGTTTCATTACGTCCCTGGCCCCCCCGCTGGGCCGCGCACATGCCGCTGGTCATGCTTTGCACCCCCCCCTCTTGGACATCCCCCTCTTGGCCGCTCCCGAATAAGGCGATCGAGTCGGTCTCTGCCCCAGGCATTCCTGGTCGAGCCTGCAAGGACGCTCGTTGTTCAGTTTGGTTCCCTCACTGGGGATCGGGGCCATGGACGCCCGCCCTCCGCTCATCGCGACAAGGGGTTCACAGCCTACACTCATGCCGTCCCCGATCGATTCGCGTCGGAGTCCAATTCGATTCGCGTGCGGTGCATAGCTGACCAATCGGTTCGGCAAATCGTATGGACGCCCTCAGCAACCAAGACAGAACACCATCGGGCCACCTTCCACAACTCAACCAGAACATGTTCAAGATTCCTCATGCAGCCAATTGGACATCATCGTGCAGTGGAAACCCATGCAAATGCCTCCAGGGTGCCCTGGGTTTCTAGCCCCAGCGCATTGTGTCCCACATCGGTGCGACAGAAAATAACTGCCCATGACCACCTTGCGGCAGAATGCCCCAAACATGTCGACACATGAACGATGGGGGGATGCGATGGGCGGCCACGATGCCGGTCCACGGTGGGGGGGGGGCGGGATTGGGACAGGGAGGGGGGGCTAGGGATAGAGGGATATAGTGATAGGTGTCGGGATGGAATAGGGATTGGGACTGGGATCGGGAATATAATCCAGGATTGCGATCGGGGATAAGAGTCGCAGGGGTGGGGATAGAGGCAGAGGGGTAGGGATAGGGACACGGATGTGGATGGGGACGGCAACGGGAGGCCAGGGGAGGCCACGGGCGTCAGGCAAGTGGAGACATCATCAGGAAACATTGTCGTTCGACCGATTCCAGATCCAGCGATGCCCCTCTCATTCCAGGCAACTGGTTAGCGACTCAGGCAAACTGGTTAGCAAGGGCGCCCTCGAGGGCGCGAAGTTAGTCGCGCTTCGCGGTTCGGCTCCGATTCCTCCTCATCCTCCTCTTCTCCCCTGGGAGGCGGCGCGCGAGCGCGAGGTTATTCGCACTTCGCGCTTCGCGCAGTGCGAAGCGCGAAGTTGGGAGCCCTTGTTTCAGGCAAACTGGTTAGGGAGCATGGGGGACGCCGTGCGGGGACCCTCTTGCGCCTGCAATTGCGCGCGAGTGGGGCACATCCATCCGTGGGCTCTCTGCGTGTGCTCCCGAATGCGTGGCCTGAGCACTGCAGCCCAGCTGGGCCTTCCCACCCATCACGCGCCCGCCCAGGCACAGAGTAGGGCTGACGCGCGCGGGACTCCCGCGCATCGTTTGTAGGGGTGTGGCCCCATGTTTGGCATGGGCATAATATAAACGAGTCATTGGGAATGCTATTCGGATGGCCAGGAGCTTGTTTCTTCTCGCTTGCAGCTGCGGCGAAGTCTGATGTGTGAGCCACTGCCTGGGCAGGGGGCGGCGCCCGAAAGATGAGCAGCTCTCAGGCCAAAGTGGGTGCTGCAAGAGGTGCAAACTGGCTCCCGGCGCTGTCACTGCTCAGGTGTCGCGACGGGGACCCGCATTCTCCAGTCGAAAAGGAGCGCTGCTATCCATGTCGTTCCGCGAACTGTGGCTCAAGATGTTGTGTGAGCTGGTGTGCCCTACAATCGCACAACGTTGGCGTGTTCGCTTCGAATACGTATGCGAAACCGGGCTTCGCACTTGCATCGTTGAGCGGCAGCTGTTCACGAAGGCCGTCAATGATTGATTGTCCGTGCTGGATGCGTTACGTAACCACACACACTGGATGTTGTCCATGTCCGTTGATGGTGTCTCCGTTTGTGTATTTTCACCCTGGTCCAGTCGGTGTGATTCGTGACCGTTTGCAGTGTCTATTCGTAGTAGGTTCGGCTGCACTAGTTTCCAGTCAATAAAGCTAGAGAGGGAGCTTCTTGCTTGGGTATTGCAATCGAGACGCAGAGTTAAGGTTATACGTGGGGGCTCAGGAGGAGTGATGTTGCGTTGACGGTGGGGATAATCGCGGGTGCGGCTCCCTGTTGCCAGGGAAGCCCCATTCGCACCTCAGCTCTCCTTACTATAGCATGTTGATTGAACGACTTGTGAATTTGTTTGCACATGTTTCCTCCAACGCGTCAAATAGTCACACCGACAGGCCGTCTTTCTGCACGTCCGCAAACGCACACACATATTTACACACACACACTTACACACACTTACACACACGCACACACACACACACGCACGCACGCACGCACGCACGCACACACACACACACACACACACACACACACACACACACACGCACGCACACACACACACACACACACACACACGCGCGCGCGCGCGCGAGGCTTGCGATGTGATATGGTGGGGGAGGGGGAGGTGGTTGAAAGCGGAGGGAGGATGGTATAACAAAAGATGATATTCATGAGGGCAGGGGTTTGGAGAGGGGAGTAGGACGAGGAGGTGAGTAGGAGGAGGCAGAGAAGGGTCTGAAGCGGAGAAGGAGGAGACAGAGAAGAAGGATGGAGAGGATGAGATAGATGAGGAAGCATATTCGGATGAGAAGGAGCATGAGGAGGCGGAGGAGGAAGGATTATATATGTGACTCAAGGTCACTTGGCTCAAGTCATCGCTGGTTCAAGTCATCACGCGCGGCTTCTGACACGCCAGCCGCTCTGGTTCGCGAGAGCGGGTATACCGACGGGTTTCTGGTTCCTGCTCTGGCCAGCCGGCCGCAATGTCCGGGAGCCATGCCCCGCTGACCCTCGGCGACCATTTGGAGATCGACGCAGCAATCCATGGCACAGCATTGGCGCCGGCACTAACGCTGGCGCTGACTCTGGCAGTGACGTCAGCAGCATCATCAATACCGTCTCCGACGCCAGCACTGGCTCCAGCACCGACGACGGCAGCAGCATCGACGCCATCAACATCTCCAGCACCGCTGCCAGCAGCATCGACGCCCGCACCGACTTGACCACCGATTCTGGCACCGATGCCATCAACATCAACGCCGGCTCCGACGCCAGCACCGATAGTGGCACCGACTCCAGCACCGCGGCCAGCAGCATCGATGTCGGCACCGATGCCGGCACTGACTCCAGCACCGCGGCCAGGTGCATCGACGCTGGCACCGATTCCAGCACCGATGCCATCAGCATCGATACCAGTACCGACGCCAGCACCGATTCCAGCACCGACCCGCAGCATCGATGCCGGCACCGACGCCGGCACCGATTCCAGCGCCGACGCGAGAAGCATCGACGCGGGCACCGACTACAGCTCCGCCGTCAGGAACATCGACGCTGGCACCGACTCCAGCGCCGACGCCAGGCGCATCGACGCCAGCAACGACTCCAGCACCGACGCCATCAGCATCAACGCCAGCTCCAACGCCAGAACCGACGCCCACAACACCCACGACGACCACAAGAACCACAACGACCATCCACAACGACCACAGCAGCAGCATGTCGCACGCCTCCAGCCTGCAAGGATGGGCTGGCCCCCCCCCGGTGCAGCCACAGCAGCAGCAGCAGACTCCGACGCGAACCGCCCGTCACACCTTGAAGGGGCCGCCGCCGCCGCCCCCGCCGCCGACGCGAGCCGCCCATCACACCCGGGCGGGCCCTCGGCCGCTCGTGGTCATTCTGGGAGGCACGACGTCACCCAGCAGCATGATTGCGACCACCTCGAAGCCTCCTGGGGGAACACCGATCTCCGTGAAGACGCTCCGGGGGAAGACCATCATGATCGACGTGGCGGCCGGTTGCGCCATCGCCAGCGTGAAAAAACACATCCAGAAGTACGAAAACAGCCCACCAGATAAACAAAGCCTGACTTTCAGCAGCAAGCAATTTCAGGACAGGTGACCGTTCGCGGACTACAACATCCAGCAGTACGCCACGATGCACTTGTTGCTCCGCCTCCGAGGGGGCGTACCTGCCTCCCTGCGCACGGGCGTTCCTGGCACGGGCACACCCTGCCGGCATGAAGTTTGTCAGTTGTTTGGTGCCCGCGTGCCTGTGGAGGACTCCGGATATCGCTGCCGCGGACGTGGGCAACCGTTCCAGCCTCCGGCGGGTGCCCCGCCCCCCCAGCATTGCGCCGATTGGCCCCTCGGCGCGCGCCGAGGTTGCCGACGCTGGGGCCCAGATCGAGGCAGCTAGAGCTCGACGTGGCCACGTCGAGGAGGCGGGTGGCCCCGCGAAGCCGCAGGCCCTCCAGGCGACGACTCGTGCGCCGAGGGGCATGACTTGCACCCTGGATCCATGGCTGACGGCGATCCGGAGCAAGGCCACTTCGCAAGGCTTCCCACGTATCCATCGGGCAGGCGGCGAGCATGGGGCTGGGAATGCGGGAGCGACGCCCGCTGCTTGGTGCCGGGGGCTGCTGGGTGCACGAGGTCGTCGTGCAGTGGCCCTGCGATAAGAGCCACGGCGACTTCATGGGCCCATCCACGGCACCTCCATCCGGGTCAACGGGCACGATGCGGTCTTCAAGGTGACGTCTCGGTTGCGGTGGCCGGGATTGCAATGCCCGCGGTGGGCGGTGACTATGCCATCAAAGGCTTCGAAATTTCATTCCGCCTCTGCGCGGACTTGTTCTCTTAATCCATTTTCATTGTGATCGACTCGCTCCGCACTGTCCTACCCATCATGGTTCGCCCCCCTCGACTCGCCCACCTGCCGCCACTCCTGCGCCGAGGCCTCGACGACGCGCCCCGCCCCCACTGCGTTTATCTTTGCCCCTTCGCGTTCACCGGGGCAGGCAGCAACTCCGACAGCGATGCCCCAGCAGGATATCAATTTCCAGCGCGACGTGGGCGATCAGCACCTCCGGCAGAAACATCATCACTTCCAGCAGCACCGCGGCGCCCAGCGAGTCGGGATCTAGCGGCGATTGGCACCATCGGCAGCAGATCCAGCAGATCCAGCAGCGCCATGGCTTCCGAAACGTAGGGGATTGTCATTGCTGTTCGCGGCAGCTCCACGGGCGGCAGCTTCAGTGCCACCCGCCGCCATTCAGTCTCCAGCACGGCGCGGGCCTGCACTCCCATCGGCAACAACCCCATCACATCCAGCAGCCCCTCAGAGTCCGGCACGCCGGGGCCCAGCAATACCGTCGGCAGCTGCAGCGGGACACCCAGCACAGCGTCTGTGTCCCGGGCGACGTGAGCCGGCAGTACAATCGGCAGGCGCAGCAGCAGCACATCCAGCAGCACCTCCGAGTCCACGACGTGACCCAGCAATACCGCCAGCAGCATCAGCACATCCAGCAGCCTCACAGGGTCCAGCACGATGGGACCTAGCAGCGCCATCGGCGGTGGCAGCATCAGAACGTCCAGCAGCACCTCAGAACCAACGACGGGACCCAGCAGCACCGTCAGCAGCCTTAGCACATCTGGCGGTCCCACAGAGTCCTGCAAAATGGAACCTAGCAGCACCATCAGTGGCAGCAGCATCAGCACATCCAGCAGCACCTCTGAGTTCGTGACGGGACCACAACCAGCATGAGCGCATCCAGCAGCCTCACAGAGTCCAGCAATATGGGACCTAGCAGCACCGTCGGCGGCAGCAACATCAGCACATCCAGCAGCACTTCAGATTCCAGCACGACGGGTGCTGGCAGTACCGGTATCATCGGTAGCAGCAGCATCAGCACATCCAGCATCACCTCCGAGTCGGCGATAGCGGCACCATTGGCAGCAGCATCTGAGCATCAGCACATCCAGCGGATTCGCAGGCCCACCCAAAACGGGACCGAGCAGTACCAGCGGCAGCAGCGACATCAGCACATCCAGCAGCCTCACATAGTCCAGCGCGACAGGGCCCAGCAGTACCATCGGTAGCTGCAGCCGCCGTGCATCCAGCTCAACGGGAGCCTGCGGCCCAAGCGCCAGAATAGGCTTCAATCGGGCCTGTCCCTCTACATGAGGAATGTTCAAAATAGAACAGTAGTATGATGACGACGTTTTGAGTGATTGTTTTGACTATTGTTGAATATGTTTAACATATGTACTGACGGCTCCTCCAAAATCCGCCTGTTGGTACATGCCCGACCTAAGAATATATGCACAGTGCCTCCGCGCGCCGCGAACTGCCTCCCATGCTTTGGCCATATCTTGGGACTACGCCTGGCTGCGGTGGGACCCCCAGGCTTCTTTCGCCGCGAACGCACCCCTACAGCGCGACATGCATGTGCGCGCCAACGTCATCCTTCAGAGCCCCGAATCATCAGGGGCAACTCGGGTCAGGGCTAACTCGGTTCGTTTTTCGGG